CATCTGATTAGGAAAAACAAGCATTCTTTGTAAGTGGGCAAACCTGCAAAATCAGCAAGGGGTAAAATACTTATTTCCCCCACTGTATATATTAGGGATGGAACGGTTTATGAAAACCGTCCGAACCGTTGGGTTCTGTCTCGGTTCGATTCGGTGTGTTGCGTTCGGTTCATGCTGCTCCTTCTTTCATAAGCGAAGCGTGTTCACTCCAGAGCAGAAGGGGGCGCTACTATACAAGACTATACAAGACATAATAGATTTTCCTAACAATCAACATGAACCGAACCGAACCGTGGATTTTGTGAACCGTTCCAACCCTCTACCCCCCCCTAAGGAGCTAAGCAAAGGAGTAACGGAAACCGAAAACCACTCGATTATTTTTCCTCTTTCCCTCTCTGGACCAGCGTTTGCCTTAATTGTTTCCGCGTCTCCAGGTCCTCGTTAGCGCTCCGTGTGTGCGTACACTAGGGTTGTCAAAACTATCGATACTAAAATGTTGAATCCGGATACGATACTCATTTTCAAAAAGTATGGATACCACCACCCCTTCTCTCAGATTTATTTATGTATTTTTTTACGTTGTTTATGGTCATTAACAAGACGTTAGCCTTGAACTGCTAGCTGCGGCTAATGGCTAATAATAACATGCTACCATTAATCAAGCACATATCCAACTCCGCCCACATCCAAGTCGGCCATTTTGATTAGGTCACCAATAGGAAGATCCCAGGCAAGAAAATCCTAATTGCTTCATGGCAATATAGACATTAATTTAAAAATAGTGAAATTATTCTTTCGAACACTGAATTAAACTCTATCCATAATATTATGTTAAATAAAATAGTGGATGTAGGTTTGTAGAATAAGTCCAAACAAGTTTAACCCAAAAAATATTTATTTCTCACAATTATGAAGGCTGTAGGGTCAGGGTTAGGATTAGGGTTAGGGTTAGGGTCAGGGTCAGGGTTAGGTTTAGGTTTAGGGTTAGGGTCAGGGTTAGGGTTACGGTTAGGGTTAGGGTTAGGGTTAGGGTCATTAATGTGGGCCACCATAACATCAGTAACAGGTCAGTTTGAAATGAAAGACACTAACCTGTCAAAATTCAGTTACATTTTGGGGTCTTTGTTTTTATCCTTGTGGTATCGAAAATGGTATCGATTATTTTCCTGAGTATCGGTATCCAGTTGAAAATTTTTGTATCGTGACAACCCTAGTGTACACACACACACACACACACACACCTGTGTACGCACACACAGAGCGTCGGTGTGTTTGTATATGATTTGAAATTGGGAAAAGAAAACAACCTTTTTCTTCCGTTTTTCGGTGGGCAGCCTAAATCTGCCGCACCCCAGATCTGTGAAGGACGATGTTCTGTAGGCGATTATGTAGCTGTTACCTGGTGTTGATAGCGAGCAGGTGTGTTTGAGTTTGTTGGTTGCTACCACACTAAAACCGTGGTTCCTAAGCTCATTTTGCATTAACAAAAAGCACATCCATCTCATAGTATTCTCCACTTGGATATGTTTCTCCTTCCACCCACCTGAACTGTTCATACACTTTCTGTGGCATTCTCCCATGTTTTGTTTTTGTTTTTGTTTCGTTTTGTTTTGTTCTTTTTTTTGTGTAAATTGTACGCTCAAAATCCATAAGAGGAATTCTGGCTATTTTTTAAAAGAAAAAAAATGTCTGCTAAACATTTTTTTTTTTTTGTAAAAAAAAACAAAAATATTTATTATGTGAAGCTCTATTATTTTATGATATTTATTGCAAGAGACGGTCTTAAATTTACTCATGTCTGAATATAACAAAATATCAAATACTTACTGAAAATTAAAGGGTGGCACAAAAGAAAACTATGTTAACTTTAATGCAGAAAATATATTAATTAATGAAAAATAGCCCTGCCTGGTGTCTTGATTGCCCCTTTTGCATTCATCGAGGTTCTCCTTCTCCTCAAAATCCTCGTTTCCGGGAAATAAACACAAACATGGAGCGATTCTTCTGGGAACCCAAGCTCCAAATCCTCCGGACCAACGAGTCACCGCTCAGCTATGAGAGAGAGAGAGAGAGAGAGAGAGAGAGAGAGAGAGGAATAGAGAGGAATATATAGAGAGAGAGGAATAGAGAGAGAGAGAGAGGGATAGAGAGAGAGAGAGAGAGAGAGAGAGAGAGAGAGTGGAAGAAAGAGGAAGAGGGATAGAGAGAGGAAGAGGGAGAGAGAGAGTGTGTGAGAGAGAGAGAGAGTGAGAGAGAGAGAGAGAGGAAAAGGAAAAGGGAGAGAAGGAGAGAGAGAGAGAGAGAGAGAGAGGAATATATAGAGAGAGAGGAATATATATAGAGAGAGGAATAGAGAGAGAGAGAGGGATAGAGAGAGAGAGAGAGAGGAAGCAGGCTAGAGAGAGGAATATATAGAGAGAGAGGAATAGAGAGAGAGAGAGGGATAGAAAGGAAGAGAGAGAGAGAGAGGAATATATATAGAGAGAGGAATAGAGAGAGAGAGGAAAAGGGAGAGAGAGAGAGAAGAAGAGAGAGAGAGGAATAGAGAGAGGGAGAGAGAGAGAGGAAAAGGGAGAGAGAGAGAGAGAGAGAGGGGAATATATATAGAGAGAAGAATAGAGAGAGGGAGAGAGAGAGAAAGAGAGAGAGAGAGAGGAAGAGGGAGAGAGAGAGATAGGAAGAGGGATAGAGAGAGAGGAAAAGGGAGAGGAGAGAGAGAGAGGAATATATATAGAGAGAGGAATAGAGAGAAAGAGAGGGATAGAGAGAGAGAGAGAGAGAGGAAGCAGGCTAGAGATAGGAAGAGAGAGAGAAAGAGAGAGAGTGAGAGA